GCAACCCCTCAAGTCCCTAAGAAGCGTCCCTCCTGTAGTCCCTTTGAATGTGGATTTTGAGCCCAAACCCTGCACCCCCCCAGCTTTAGAGACCTTCAATCCCAAACTTTGAACCTTACAGCCAAGCGTCTAAACCCTGGAATCCCTAAAGCCCTAGCCCTAAACCCTAAATCCTAAACCCTAGCCCTAAACCATAAATCCATCAGAGATGGTCAAGTTCTTGAACGTGGCGAAGTTGAAGAGCCTCGGGCACTTCGCGAACAAGACCTTCTTGCCGGACCTCAAGAAGAAGATGAGGAGCGTCCCCTTCAAGCACCTCGGGATGAACAAGATGAAGGACATGTGCTTGAGGGTCATCGACCTCCCGCTCACGCGCGAGGTCGTGGAGTTCATCATGAAGATGAGGTTCAAGCCCGCAAGGGCGCATATGTACATGGATCCGGGGTTGCTGCGACAAAAAAGGCGCGTGGGCCTTTTTTTGGTGTTTCAGCCCTAGCCCTAAACCCTAAACCCTAAACCCTAAACCCTAAACCCTAAACCCTAAACCCTAAACCCTAAACCCTAAACCCTAAACCCTAAACCCTAAACCCTAAACCCTAAACCCTAAACCCTAAACCCTAAACCCTAAAAACCAAACCCTAAACCCTCAAGACCTGAATTCCTAAACCTGAAGTCGAGGTGAGCAACGATGACCCCTCCGTGTCCCTCAGCGACTCAGAGTGCCCTCACGCGCAAGTGGGCAGCGGCGTGTGGCCCGACAAGGCCCAGGGCTCCGGGGTTCCGGGTCTAGCCCTAAACCCTAAACCCTAAACCCTAAACCCTAAACCCTAAACCCTAAACCCTAAACCCTAAACCCTAAACCCTAAACCCTAAACCCTAAACCCTAAACCCAAAACCCTAAACCCTAAACCCTAAACCCTAAACCCTAGAGGTTCACGCGAATGTCAGGATTCGACCCTGAAACCCTCAGGCCGTGCCCGAAGGCTTCCGGAAAGGTCGGTGTTGCGGGGATATGTCTTAGGGTTCAGGGTGTAGGGTTTAGGGTTCAGGGTTTAGGGTTTAGGGTTTAGGGGTTAGGGTTCAGGGTTTAGGGTTTAGGGTTTAGGGTTCAGGGTTCAGGGTTCAGGGTTTAGGGTTTAGGGTTTAGGGTTTAGGGTTCAGGGGTTCAGGGTCTAGCAGGGCTTAGGGGAAACTAGGGGCCATATGGGGAGTAGATGCAAGCCATGTCGCTGTAATGTGCAATTGCGAGAACCTCAAATCCCTAACCTCATAATAAGCCGTAAGCCCCAAACCCTAAACACTAAGCCTAAACCCGAAAACCTCTGCCCTAAACTTTAAGCCCCTAAACTCTTAAACACTTCAAGCCTCAACCCTGAACACTAAACCTAAAGCCTAGACCCTAAACCCAAGAGCAACCCTTGACCCTTAACCTAAACGCTAAACCCTCAGAACCCTGAATCCTCAACCCTAAACCCTAAGAACCCTAAACCCTAAACCTAAACCCTTAACACTTACCCCTAAACTCTAAACCCTAAGCCCTACACCCTAAACCCTAAACCCTAAACCCTAAACCCTAAACCCTAAACCCCAAACCCTAAAACCCTAAACCCCAAAACCCTGACGCCCTGTCTCTTGGGGCGGAGGCCACGTTCCCGGCGTCCGGCGCTTCGCGAGCCGCGGAGAAGGCCCTTTGCCACAGAGCGTGTGTTCTCTTTGTGGTACTTTACTGCAACTTTAGATCCTTACCTGTTTTGGGTTTACTGGGTTTCTTCTTAAGGCAGCTAAAAGTTTAATTTGTAGCTACCCTCCTGAGTGCAGCCAAGTTCTGGGATTCGGGTTCAGGGATGTTACTTTAGGGGTCGGAATAGTTGCTACTAGTACTCCCTTCTGGTCCCTTTACAGGTACACTACAAGAACCCCCAAGACCCTGTTCCAATTATAAAGGCCCCTATATTAGGCTATTTAAGAGGTAATGTCGGCAATTTAGGGTGATTTTGGGTATTCAGTCTCGCTTAGGGTAGTTCAGGGTAATACTTAGGGTAGTTCAGGGGAATTTGGGGTCATTTAGGGGTAATTTAGGTTAATTTAGAGTACTTCAGGGTACTTAGGGAGTTCAGGGTCGTTTAGGGCTAATTTAGGGTAACTTAGCGTATTTAGGAAGGTAATTTAGGGGAAACTTTGGGTAAGTTAAATCAAGGGTAATTTAGGGGTGGGTAATGTAGGGGGGGGGGGGGGTAACTTAGAGTACTTTAGGCCAGAGTATTCGCTGCTAAGAGCGAGTAAGATCTCCGACGTTTAGGGTTTCGGGTCTAGGGTTTGGGGTTTAGGGTTCAGGGTTTAGGGTTCAGGGAACCGACTCTAAGTGGTAGCTGGCGATTTGGACAATAGGTACACCTTGTTTTGTTGTATACAGCCCTAGACCCTATACCCTAAACCCTTAAGCCCCAAACCCCCAGGCCGAAACCCTTAAACCCCTAAACTCCTAAACCCCTGAACCTCTAAACCCTAAGCCAAATCCTAAACCTTAAGCCTTAAACCTCAAACCGGGTCGGCTGCCATCCGGAAGCAAGTGAGGAGCCGGTGGCTGTGGAGGTGTGCGGTGAAGAGGAGGTTCTTCACCGCCCAGGGGTTTAGGTTTAGGGGTTGAGGGGTTTAGGGGTGTAGGGGTTTAGGGGTTAGGGGTTTAGGGGTTGAGGGGTTGAGGGGTGTAGGGGTTTTGGGGTTTAGGGGTTTAGGGGTTTAGGGTTTTAGGGGTTCAGGGGTTTAGGGGTTCAGGGGTTTGGGAGTTTGGGAGTTTAGGGTTTAGGGGGTTGAGGGGTGTAGGGGTTTTGGGGTTTAATTAGGTTTTTTTTGGGGGGTTTAGGGCTTGGGGTTTTAGGGCTTTCGCCCCGAAACCCTAAACCCTAAACCCTAAACCCTAAACCCTAAACCCTAAACCCTAAACCCTAAACCCTAAGCCCTAAACCCTAAACCCTAAACCCTAATCCCTAATCCCTCATCCCCACCACCGCAGCCCTTAACAAGCCTTCATCCCCCAGTCTGAGCCCTAACCCTCTGGGTAGGCCCTCGTGGTGATAGTTTTTGTGCGGTCTCTTTTCTGGGGTTTAAGGAGGAACAATGATAAGGTTTGGGCTTTGTAGGATTTCGGGTTCAGTGTGTCAGGGACTTAGGGTTTAGGGTTTAGGGTTCAGGGCTTAGGGTTTAGGGTTTGGGGTGCCTCGGGCCCCTGCCGCCGAGCAGGTCAAGCCTCAACAACCCTACACCCCAAGAAGCCCAATGAAACCTATAGAACCCTATAAACCCTGCAAACCTTGTAACCCCTATAAAACCCGTTAACACCCTATAAAACCGTGTAATGCCCTCTAAGACTTTCGAAATCCTATGAAGCCCTATAGAATCCCTTAAAACCCTTTAAACAACCTATACAAACCTTTTCGGAAAGCCGATAAATGAAAACCCTATACACAGCACGATCAGAATCTTATAAGAACCCTATGAAAACTCATAAAACCCTCACCCTGCTAACCTTACATCCCTGCCGGCCCCGAAGCCCTAAACCCTAAACCCTGAACCCCGAACCCTGAACCCTAAACCCTAAACCCTAAACCCTAAACCCTAAACCCGAAACCCTAAACCCTAAACCCTAAACCCTAAACCGAGGCCACGTGCACCAACTCGTTCTGCCACGGGCACGGGACCGCCGCGGACGTGTCCAGGGCTGCAAAATAATCAGGGTTAAGGTCTTAGGGTTTTAGGGTTTAGGGTTTAGGGAGTGTAAGGTTTGAGGTTTGGGGTTTTAGGGGTTTTAGGGGTTTTAGGGGTTTTAGGGGTTTTGGGGTTTAGGGTTTTAGGGTGTTTAGGGTTTATGGTTTTGGGTTTTACGTCGTAGGGGTTAAGGTCTGCCAGAGTCGTGGCAGTAGTAAGTCGACTAAACGTGGTAGCGTGACCATCATAATACTAATTCGAACAGTAGTTGGAATAGTACAGGTATGGTGATACCAATCAGAATCGTAAACCAGTAGTAAAAATGTGGGAATTTTCATAGTTTGAGTACAACCATAGCAAGACATAATTTAAAATAATCAGGAAATCCAAAACATGTAAGACTGGACACAATCATGGTAATCAGAAGGGTGATACGTAGGGTAACACTGATCAGAAGAATCGCTGCCATATAATCACGTCGGAATAGTAAAGACGCATTATCACTAGACATAACAGAGAAAGCTTGTAGCAATGATGTTAGGATGTTAGTTAAGGGTTTATGGAGTAGGGTCTAGGATTTAGGGTTTAATTTTGGGTTTAGGGCTTAGGGTACTCAATATTATTGATAGCAGTTCTGGGAATCATACGTATAGTAATAGTAACAATAACAAAAAATCATAGTAGTTCTTGCGGGTTCAGGGCTTAGGGCTCGTTTGGGGTTTAGGGTTTCTTGGTTAGTGCGTAGGGCGTAGGATTGGGGCTTAGAGCGGTGCACGTGGAAGCTCTTTTGACTTAGGAAGTAGGGTTAGTAAGTTGGGTCATGGGGTTGCAATAGGGTTTCTAGGAGACAACAAATCTTACGAAGTCAAGAGAGCTTCCAAGTAGGGTTTAGGGTTACCTGCTTCGTGGCAGGGAACCATATCTAAACCCTAAACCCTAAACCCTAAACCCTAAACCCTAAACCCTAAGCCCTAAACCCTAAACCCTCAACCCTAAACCCTAAACCCTAAACCCTAAACCCTAAACCCTAAACCCTAAACCCTAAACCCTAAACCCTAAACCCTAAACCCCAAACCCCAAACCCCAACCCTAAACCCTAAGCCCTAAACTCTGGAGGGGCCCGGGCGGCCTCTATGCACAAGTAGAACGCGAAGACCAGGCACCGGAAATTTGCTCACCAGAAAGACAGCGCTGGCCGTTGTCCGCTACGACCCACGCGCAGGAAAACACCGCAACGGGGTCGTGCCAGAGGGGTACCGACTTTCTTTGGAAAGAAGATCTCCCCGAAGACCTCCATGGCACTCTTGGACTCGGAGGACACCATGGCACCCTGTCCTTGGAGGACACCATGGCTCCGAGGCTGGTGGCCGGTGGCCACCCGGGAGCGACAGGGTTGTCGACGGCCCGGTCGTGATCCTGATTTGCTTCTACCAGCTGCTAGAGCTGGTGATGTGGAGCTGGCTGATGCAGCAGACGACACCCCAGCTCGAGTTGGTTTAGGCTTTGGGGTTTAGGGTTCAGGGTTAGGGTTCAGGGCCTAGGGTGTTTCGGGTTTTGGGTTTAGGGTTTAGGTTTCAGGGTCTAGGGTTTCGGGCACCCAAATCAAAAGGCGTGCGTGACGTCGACTGTCTCTCAGCCATTCCGAACCGTACATTGCATAGGCTTGAATACTCCAGGCTCAAGATCCAGCATTCAATCGTAGAGCCCCCGCCCCAAAACCTCCTTCGAAAGAGGTTCCCTCAACCCAACATCCTAAACACAAAACCCTAAACCCTAAACCCTAAACCCTAAACCCTAAACCCTAAACCCTAAACCCTTAGCCCGGGGCCTAAACCCTAAACCCTAAACCCGCTTACATACCCCCTTGAACCCCCCTCCCTTAAGAACCCTGTCAACAGACGCGCCAAGTGAGGTGAACGGCGTGTGCACCTGCACCTGCTCCCTGGTCAAGGGGTTTGCCTCGCTCTTCGTGGTGGGAAGCCCTGAACCCTAAACCCTAAACCCGAAACCCTAAACCCTAAACCCTAAACTCAGGGCCTAGGCCGCCCCCCTACGTTGGGGTCTCGGACGGCGTCGGGTGGGAGAAAAGGATTAGATGGCCCTCCACAATCGGGCCAAAGCTGCTCTTCGCACAGCTTGTTCCGAAACCTAACCTTCACAGCACCTACGCCCTATCACAGCAAACCCTCAACCCTAAAGCCTCAAGCCTAAAGCCTCAAGCCTAAAGCCTAAAGCCCCAAGCCTAAAGCCTAAAGCCTACAGCATAAAGCGTAAACCCTAAAGCCTAAACCCTAAACCGTAAACCTTAAACTCTAAACCCGAAATCCTGCGAAGACTTGTTCTTTTTCCTTGGATTTCCGGGGAGCTGCAAGTGTGCATTTTTGGATTTCGTGTTTAGGGTTTAGGGCCTCCGGCCCAGAAACAGGGCGTCAGGGTTTAGGGTTTAGGTTTCGGGTTTATGGGTTTTGCAGTTTCGGGGTTTAGTAGTTTGGGGTGTGGAGCTTAGGGCTTGGGGCTTTTCGGGTAGTTTGGGGTTTTCCTGAGACCGCCTGCCCAACCCAAGCCGAAGCCCCTTTATACGTCGAGTCGTGCGAAGCCCCTTTATACCTCGAGTCGTGCTGAAACCCAAGAAGCAAACCGAAAACCCCAAGGAAGTAACTCTAGAAGCAACCCTAATTAAAACCCTATAAGTAACCCTAAACCCAAAGCCCTAAACCCTATATTAACCTGAACCCTAAACCAACTCTATAAGTAACCCTAAAGCCTAAGCCCTACAGCCCTAGGAGCCTTGGCTTACAAGCGGCGTCCGCTAAGGCTCCACTGGCTACGAGGGCGACCGCTGTGACGTGTGCATCGCCGGCTACGAAGGTCCGGTCCAAAGCTCTACTGGGTAGCCCAGTGGTACCCTTTTGCCCTTGTTTGTTGGTTCAGGGTTTAGGGTTTAGGGTTTAGGGTTTAGGGTTTAGGGTTTAGGGCCTAGGGTTTAGGGTTTAGGGTTTAGGGTTTAGGGTTTAGGGTTTAGGGTTTAGGGTTTAGGGCTTATGAAGTAACTAACCCCAAAATGGGTACCCTTATTGTAAGATGGTGGCTGGGCTACCAAGTCTAAATCCTCTTAGACGTTTTAGGCTTGATGGTTCAGGATTGAGGGTTCACAGGGTTCAGGGAGGATCAAACCGTAAACCGTAAACCCTAAACCCTAAACCCTAAACCCTAAATTACCTCCTAAACCCTAAACCCTAAACCGAGCTACTTAATGTACCGCCCTGAACGCCAACATATTCCCAATCTGGCATCATATGTGCCTTGCAGCGGGAGAGTGACTTTCGGGATTCTCAGAGGGCTGTTGAGTTCGGTTTGCAACCCCAAGTCCTAAACCCTAAACCCTAAACCCTAAACCCTAAACCCTAAACCCTAAACCCTAAACAGCAAACTCTGAATGCCCAGGCTACCCCACCTGCCGCGAGAGTTGCACAGACGAGGCGGATTGCAGCTCCAACGGTATAGCCTCGGGGGTGAAGTGGCTGAGCCTTGCGCTGCACCCTAAACCCTAAACCCCAAACCCTAAACCCTAAACCCTAAACCCTAAACCCTAAACCCTAAACCCTAAACCCTAAACCCTAAACCCCAAACCCCAAACCCCAAACCCTAAACCCTAAACCCCAAACCTTAAACCCTAAACCCTAAACCCTAAACCCTAAACCCTACACCCTAAACCCTAAACCCTAGACCAGCGATATTTTTTGATTCCTGAACCCTAAACCCTAAACCCTAAACCCTAAACTCTAAACCCTAAACCTTAAGCCCTAAAGCCTGTTCGATTCCCGAACATACGCAAGGAACGAGTTCGGCCAGCAGCTGGACAGCTGCGCGTGCGTGTGCGATCCAGGTTTCAGCGGGCTGAACTGCGAGACGGATGCTTGTCCTAAGCCCGAAACCCGAAACCCTAAATCCTAAACCCTAAATCCTAAACCCTAAATCCAAAACCGCTCCCTAAGCCTAAACCCCCTAACTTCCTCAACCGTTTAAACCCTCTAAGGCTGTCGGCTGAAGCTGAAGACGCCAGTACCCTCAACCCTCCAACCCTCAACCCTCAACCCTAAACCCTAAACCCTAAACCCTAAACCCCAAGCCCTAAGCCCTAAACCCTAAACCCTTCGTAGAATATGGTTGCTTGGCTAGCAAGTAGCCCCAAGAGAGACAGCGCCCTAAACCCTAAACCCTAAACCCTAAACCCTAAACCCTAAACCCTAAACCCTAAACCCTAAACCCTAAACCCTAAACCCTAAACCCTAAACCCTAAACCCTAAACCCTAAACCCTAAACCCTAAACCCTAAACCCTAACCCCCAACCCCTAAACCCTAAACCCTAAACCCTAAACCCTAAACCCTAAACCCTAAACCCTAAACCCTACACCCTACACCCTAAACCCTAAACCCTAAACCCTAAACCCGAAAACCTTCAAGGGAGACAGCGCGCTTCCCGGGCTTCTCTGCGAGTACTACTACTTCGAGCAGGGCTCCAATGTTCCCGACTTCCTAGGCCGGGGGCACGAAAGCGGAAAGTTAGGGGTTTGGGTGGATAAGGGTTAGGGTTTAGGGTTTTGGGTTTAGGGTTTAGGGGTTAGCGCTTAGGGTTTAGGGTTTAGGGTTTACCATTCGCTTTAGCCATTTTTCACACTGTGGCACGGCTTGTCACAAGGTCGAAGTTGTGTTGTCGCTTCGTGAAACCGCGAGAAATTGCAAAATTCAGAACCTCATGAAGCTGCCCCACTTTGGAAGATGGTGCAGGGATGGAGATTGTGAACAGCCAGACCCCTGGAATTTGCCTCAACCCTAAACCCAAAACCCTAGATTTTAAGCCCAATATCCAAAACCCTAAACTCTGAACTCTAACTGCAGCCTGTGAAAAGCCAAACGTACTGCAGTTGAACCTTCGAACTGCCACTGGAAGGTTCGGGGCACTTGGCATTGTGTGTGTACGTACTTATTCCCCACTCATCATACTTAGAGCTCTTTTGACTTAGTAAGTAGGGTTAGTAAGTTGGGTTATGGGGGTCTAGCATGGGGTTTCTAGGTAGACTTGCTAAGTCAAAAGAGCTTTCAAGTAAGGCCCTGAAGCTCCCAAATATGGTTTGCAAGTGGGTTTAGGGTTGAGGGTTTAGGACTCAGGGTTTAGGGTTTAGGGTCTAGGGTTTAGGTTTAGGGTTTAGGGTTTAGGGTGTAGGGTTTAGGATGTAGGGTTCAGGGTTTGGTTCTATTTCGGTTTCTAAGTGCTACGAACCTGCAACCAGACATCCTGCAATTTGAAGCATCTTGGACCTGGGAATAGCCTTAAGGCATCTGGTCCCTGGAAATCTGAGAAAAAGTTCGTATTGAGAGAACTAGAAAACAACAAAACAGACACCAACAGAAAGCCAAGAAAAGAGCGGTGGATGGTGGGGGGGTGCGTTAGGGGGGGGGTGTGGGCAGGGGGAGCCGGACATTTGTGGGTTCTTTTGTTGTTTTTGTTTTGGTCTTTTCCTGGGGAAAAGCCCAAACAGCAAAACAAGTATGCTACACTCCCCCCTCGCCCGTCTCCCCCTTCTCCCCCCGTCTCCCCGCTCTCCGCCCTCTCCCCCCTCTTCTCCAGGTACGTATGCAATATCTCCATGCTTGGTAGGTTGCCTACTATAGAAACCAAGCAAGGGTGTTGCAAGCCCAAAGCCATCCTGTTTGGCCACAAAAGAGCGCCCCCATTCAGGCAAGACGGTGGACCACGTCACTGTGGCTTCGGTGATCGATTTCGCCGACGACCACTCGTTTCCGGAAGTTGCCCAGCATGACCACTTCGCCGTGAGGTGCACGGGCTTCTTGAAAATCCAGACAGCTGGAACCTACGATTTGTACACAAACTCCGACGACGGCTCCTTCCTCTACCTGGATGGGGAGCCCCGGCAGTAGCAAGTGCTACCTTTGTGTTGTGTTTGCGTCAACACTCAGCGACTCAGCCCGGGCAGACGGCGGAATTCGGGGTAGCCGCAGCAGCCAAGGAGCGTATTGTGGACAATGACGGGTTGCACGGCCCGCAAGAGAGGAGCGGATCCAAGCAGCTTGCGGCCGGCTCCCACCCCATCCTCGTGGAGTTCTTCGAGAACGGAGGCGGCGCGAAGCTCGTCGTGGAATATCGGGGGCCCGACTCCAATGGTGCGCAGGTCGTGATTCCCTCCCACGCGCTGAGCACTGCTGTGGAGCCCACCACGTCGCCTATATCAACGACCATGACTACCACCACAGCGGCCACGACCACGGCTACGACCACCTTGGCGACGACTACCACAGGGGCCACAACCACTACCACGACCCCGCAGGCAAAACCCTAAACCTTGAGCCCTAAACCCTGAACCCTGAACCCTAAACCCTAAACCCTAAACCCTCAACCCTAAACCCTAAACCCTAAACCCTAAACACTAAACCTTTTTGGCACTTATCTTAACCCCCCGGAGACGGGCCTGGTCCATTTGGTGGGAATCTTTCGAACCTCAAACCGCAAGACCCTAAACCCCGAATCCTAAACCCTAAACGCTAAACCCCAAACCCTAAACCCCAAACCCTAAATCCTAAACCCTAAACCCTAAACCTAAATCCTAAACCCTACACCCTAAATCCATGAGCCCCCCTAATCTGCAAACCCCAACAGTGCACGTGCGAGCGGTAGGCGGTCGGAGGGTTGCATGCCAGTACCAACACTGCTTGGTTTAGGGTTTAGGGTTTAGGGTTTAGGGTTTAGGGTTTAGGGTTTAGGGTTTAGGGTTTAGGGTTTAGGGTTTAGGGTTTAGGGTTTAGGGTTTAGGGTTTAGGGGGTTTAGGGTTTAGGTTTAGGGGGTTTAGGGTTTAGGGTTTAGGGTTTAGGGTTTAGGGTTTAGGGTTTAGGGTTTAGGGTTTAGGGTTAAGCCCATGAGCCTTCCGGGATTTCGGGTTTAGAGTTGGGGTTTGGGGTTTAGGGTTTAAGGTGTAGAGTCCCATCAAACTCTCTGCGGGGGGGAGCGGGAGGAAGGTGAGGGGGTTGAGGGATTTCAGGGTTCTTGAAACCCCACCAGCTCTGAGCGGAATTGCACCCAAGAGGAACTGCAAGACTAAACCCCAAGCCCTAGGCCCCAGGGTCGAGGTCCCAGAAAAAATCCTAAACCCTAGCCCTAAACCCTAAACCCTAAACCCTAAACCCTAAACCCTAAACCCTAAACCCTAAACCCTAAACCCTAAACCCTAAACCCTAAACCCTAAACCCTAAACCCTAAACCCTAAACCCTAAACCCTAAACCCTAAACCCTAAATCCTACACCCTAAACCCTACACCCTAAACCCTAAACCCTAAACCCTAAACCCTAAACCCTAAACCCTAAACCCTAAACCCTAAACCCTAAACCCTAATCCTAAGCCCGAAACCCTGAAGCCAAAGATCCCCGCACCCCGCAAGCCCTGGAGCAGAGGCCGGCCCACAACCTGGCGTGAGTTGTGAGAACCTTGACCGATCTTGCGAACAGGTTTAGGGTTTAGGGTTTAGGGTTTAGGGTTTGGGGTTTGAGGTTTGGGGTTTGGGGTTTGGGGTTTGGGGTTCGGGGTTTCAGGTAGGTTTGTTCAGACCCTAAGCAAGTATGTCCAGGAATCAGGGGTCTAGGTCTTCGGGTTTAAGGCTTAGTGATCATGATTGTGTCGGAGGGGTTGCACCCTGAACTAAACCCTAAACCCTAAACCCTAAACCCTAAACCCTTTAACCCTTTAACCCTTTAACCCTTTAACCCTTTAACCCTTTAACCCTTTAACCCGTTAACCCGTTAACCCTTTAACCCTTTAACCCTTTAACCCTTTAACCCTTTAACCCTTTAACCCTTTAACCCTTTAACCCTTTAACCCTTTAACCCTTTAACCCTTTAACCCTTTAACCCTTTAAACCCTAAACCCTAAAACGTGGCTCTGCTAAGGTACTACTACTTCACGCAGGGCGACAAGGTCCCGGACTTTGCAGGCCAATCACTTGAGCCTGCCTGCAACTCTTTGTCTACAAGGTAGTCGTGTTTTCGCACACAGTTGGCAGCTACCCAAATTCAAGACCTAAATCCTCAGCTCCTCAGCCCTAAACCCTAAACCCTAAACCCTAAACCCTAAACCCTAAACCCTAAACCCTAAACCCTAAACCCTAAACCCTAAACCCTCGGCCAACTAGGGACCCAGAGTGGGCCCTTATCCCCTTTTCAGGGTTTAGGGTTTAGGGTTTAGGTTTTAGGGTTTAGGGCTGCTGGGGCCCAGAGTAGGCCCTTATTCCCATTTTTGAGGGTTTAGGTTCATGTATAGGCGCCCCGAAACCAAAGAGGGCACCCTGTTTATTCCTAGGTTGTTGTTGGGTCTAGCCAATCTGTATACAATGAAGAACAGGTTCTTCTGCTTCTGCTGTGATACCTATCGAATCCAATGCAGACATGAACTTTGCAACAGAGCCTACACCTTGATAGGTTGGGGGGTTGAATCTTCAAACCAGAAGCATTCCGTCTGTGCGGTGACGTGCGGGCTCATGGCCATGAAAGAGCGCCCCCTTTCAGGCAGGACGGTGGACCACGTGACGGTGGCTTCGGTGATCGATTTCGCCGACGACCACTCGTTCCCAGAAGTTGCCCAGCATGACCACTTCGCCGTGAGGTGCACGGGCTTCTTGAAAATCCAGACGGCTGGAACCTACGATTTGTACACAAACTCCGACGACGGCTCCTTCCTTTACCTGGATGGCGAGCCCCGGCAGTAGTAAGTGTTTCCTTTGTGTTCTGGTTGCGTCAACACTCAGCGACTCAGCTCGGGCCGACTGCAGAATTGGGGTAGCCGCCGCAGCCAAGGAGCGTATTGTGGACAATGACGGGTTGCACGGCCCGCAAGAGAGGAGCGGATCCAAGCAGCTTGCGGCCGGCTCCCACCCCATCCTCGTGGAGTTCTTCGAGAACGGAGGCGGCGCGAAGCTCGTCGTCCAGTACAGGGGGCCCGACTCCAATGGTGCGCAGGTCGTGATTCCCTCCCATGCGCTGAGCACCGCCCTCGAACCGACGACCACAGCCGTCTCATCGAGCCTCGCTCGTTGTTGTGGATGTTGTTAACATGTATTTGTGCTTTATACAGGCACCATCAAATCAAAACACCTCAAACCCTAAACCCTAAACCCTAAACCCTAAGCCCTAAACCCTAAACCCTAAAAATTGGTAGCTTCTTCGAGCCCCGCCCGAGGACCACCATGACTACCACGACCATGGCGACGACCACCACCACCACGACCGTGGCGACGACCACCACCACGACACTGTGTCACAGTGGGGGGAACATGTTACATGTTTTAGGGTACCTAAACTCAAGAAGGACTCGAAATGTACATGTTTAGGATTGCTTAGTACTATCCCGACCATGAGCCAGGACAGTGGCGACCACCACCACCACGACGGTGGCTACGACCACCACGATGTCTGGCCAGGGACCGCCGGGTCCCCCTGGGCCCGCGGGGCCTCAAGGCCCGCCTGGGCCGCCAGGACCGCCTGGCCCACCCGGTCCGGCGCGTTAGAGGGTTTAGGGTTTAGGGTTTAGGGTTTAGGATTTAGGGTTTAGGGTTTAGGGTTTAGGGGGTTTATTTATAGGGTTTAGAGGGTTTATAGGGTTTATAGGGTCTATAGGGGATGATAGGGTTTACAAGGGTTGATAGGGTTAAGGGTTTGCAAGGCTTCTGGTGTCGCGATCAGGCTCTTAGGCGATTGGCATTGCCATCAAATGTCTGGCAGTTTCTTGCATCGCGCAAAAAAAGTGGCAGGCGTGTAATGGCGGTATTTAGGTTGGTCTTAATAGCTAACAGCCTTCTGTTGAGTTTAGAGTAGTGTCGCAGGACTTTAGGGTCTTAGGGCTGCACCACATTCGAAAGTATCCTAAATCCTCGATCAAGAGCCGGAAAACTGTGCAGGGTTTTGCGGCACTCGGTCGAGGATGAAGTTTTTGTTTTCCCCCTCTCGGACGCTTACGGCTTAGGCGGTGTGAGGGTTGTTGTTGTTTTCCTACTAAACCCTAAACCCTAAACCCTAAACCCTAAACCCTAAACCCTAAGCCCTAAGCCCTAAACCCTAAACCCTAAACCCTAAACCCTAAACCCTAAGGGGCTCAGGGCGTGGGATCTTCGGGTACTCAGGGCTTCCAACGCGTTCTGTGTTTTTTTTTTAGGAGGGGGGGGGGGGGGGGGGGGGCTTCTTTTTTGTTTTTGCATCTAATTTTTTGGTTCTGACGATGCTTGAGGGTTCAGGGTATTCCGGGTATTGAGGGATTCTCGGGCCGTAGACAGGGGCTTTTGGGGCTGTAGGGTTCACGTGCACACGCTGCTAGGATGGGAAGCTTTGCAAAGCCCCCAAAAACCCAAATCCCCCCTAAACCCTAAACCCGAAACCCTAAACCCTAAACCCCCATAACCTAAACACCCCTGAGCCCAAAGCTTCCAAAGCAGGGCCATGGACTGCGCAGTGTCCGCCACTACCTGGCTGAGGCGGTGAAGAAGATGCTGCTCGCTCACATGGCTTCTAGTAAACCCATACCCCAAAAGGTAGAACTAGAATCCCAGCTCTTTCTAGTAAACCCATACCCCCAAAAGGTATAACTCGAATCCCAGCTCTTAATCATCCTTAAGCCATGTTCCAGCTTTCTGGAGTGTACTGTAGGGTTTATGGTTTAGGGTTTAGGGTGTGGGGGGGGGGGGGGGGGGGGGGGGGCTCGGCGTGGGGAGGAGGGGGGCCGCGAGGTTAGATGGTTTAGGGCTTATAAGTCTAAAGGGTGACAAGCGTTGGGGTTCAGGGCTTATAGGGCTAATAGGCTTTAGAGTGCATCATATGGAATTACAGACCCAGAAACCCTACTTAGTATGGTTTTTGTGTTTCTCTTTGCATAGTAGTAGTAGTAGTACAACTGGATCCTCAGGGTAAGTATGTAGGGAGTGCAAGGGCTTTTCCTGGCAGTCATATAATCTAATTCCAAACCCTAAAAGCCCTGAACCCTAAAACCTAAGCGCTGGTCCTAAACCCTAAACATCCTAAAAACCTAAAACCCCAAACCCTAAACCCTAAACCCCAAAACCCTAAACCCCAAACCCTAAACCCTAAGCCTGGACCCTTTGGGATCTTATTCTTCTGGCCGAAGAAGGAAGCGATGCAAATGGCGCCCCCCCGCAGTTGCTGCCCTAGTGGGCAGCCAAAACCTGGGGCTGAGGTTGGGTAAGCCCTCAACCCTGAACCCTCAATTCTAAACCCTAAGCCCTAACTCCTAAACCCTTAACTCTAAACCCTAAACTCTACAAAAAGCTCAAGAAGCCCTAGAGCACCCAAGCATTCTAAAGAAATGCAAAGCCCTAAGACCTCGAAGGCTCCCAAGACCCTACACACCGCGAAGCCCTTCAACAAAAACCTTAAACACCCTTGAAATGTCCTGAAGAGATCCGAAAACGCTAAACCTTGCAAAATCTCAAAAATACTATCAACACTATCAACACTGATAAGCCCTAATCTCAGGCTGCCAGTGCACGCAATGACGCTAGGTCCTGAGATGCTTTGGCTTTCCCTTATACCTTCAACCACAAACCCGAAATACTAAACCTTACGAAAACCCTAAACCCTAAACCCTAAACCCTAAACCCTAGACCCTAAACCCTCCACCCTAAACCCTAAACCCTAATTCGTGGATCCTTGCCATTCGCCCAAGCCAAGGCTGCAGCCATCATGCTGCTGCGCGGTGGAGGCGGGTAGGTAGTAGGTAGTAGGTGGTAGGTAGTAGATAGAGTAGGTAGAGTAGGTAGTAGCTAGTAGGTAGTAGGTAGTAGGTAGTAGCTAGTAGGTAGTAGGTAGAGTAGGTAGTAGGTAGTAAGTAGGCAGTAGGTAGAGTAGGTAGAGTAGGTGGAGTAGGTAGAGTAGGTAGAGTAGGTAGAGTAGGTAGTAGGTAGAGTAGGTAGTAGGTAGTAGGTAGTAGGTAGAGTAGGTAGTAGGTAGAGTAGGTAGTAGGTAGAGTAGGTAGTAGGTAGAGTAGGTAGTAGGTAGAGTAGGTAGTAGGTAGAGTTGGTAGTAGGTAGTAGGTAGTAGGTAGTAAGTAGTAGGTAGTAGGTAGTAGGTAGTAGGTGGTAGGTAGTAGGCAGTAGGTAGTAGGTAGTAGGTAGAGTAGGTAAGCCATGTCATGGTGATGTTGGATGGTAGGCGCTCATGTGTGGGTGCTCCCCTCTTTGAAGCCCGCACAAACAGGCTCCCCCCCCTCTCCGACTAGACAATAGTGTTTAGGGCTTCGAGTTTAGGGCCTAAACCCTAAACCTCAGGCCCTACACTCTAAACCCTAGCTTGCAAGAGTTGCGTTTGTGGGCCAATTGGAACTTCGGATCGTTGCGGGCTGCTGTTGCCCTAGAATAAACCCTCCCCCTTTCCTTCCCTCGAGCCTGAAACCAAGGAACGTTGCCTAAAAGCGAGCCCACACCCCAGATGTATTTTATTCGCCCTGTGACTCTAATCCCTGAACCACTAAAGCCCCACGACCCTGCACCCTTAAACCCGAAACCGCGAAACCCCCAACCTCTAAGCCGTAACCCTGCGAACCCGAAACCCTAAACGCAAAACCGCAGTAAGCCCAGACAGTATAGGCCTGTAGCGAACTGCAGAGGTTGCGCCGTGCCCCAGGCGCTTGAGAGGCGCAAACTCTGCGCGGTTTACTTGGAGGTTCATGCTACATGTAACCCAATTGTAAGTGTACCTTTTACCCACCTCTAAGCCCCTTAAGTGCCCGAATATGGCTATGACTGGGGTAAAGTACACGAAAACATTGTTCGCGAACTAGCATGAATCTCCAAGTATGGTTTAAAGGGTTCTGAGCTTCGGGCTGTTTGAAGGTTCGTTGGAGAAGTAAATGTGCTCGATCTCAGCACTGGATCACTGGATCTTGCAGCTTCCTTCTAGTCCCTACTACCTGTACCTCGTACCAATACCTACTACCTAGTACCTACTAGATACTACCTGCTACCTGCTATCTACTACCTACCTACCTACTACCTAGTACCTACTAGCTGCTACCTACTACCTAGCCTGCGGCCGCGGAACTCGGTTTGGGATGTTTGGGTTCCCTGGCGAAGAGGAAGTGCACAGAACGGGCTTTGCCAACTGCCGGACAGAAGCCGTTTTTGGATCCGATTCTGTCCCCCTACCACAACTACCCCTCGCCCTCCCCCATGCAACAGAAGACCAAAAGATAGCGCCCCTTATCTTGAGTAGGGGAGCTGGGGTGGGGCGGGGGGTTGGTGGAAACTCGACCTGCAGCCGCCCTGAAGCAACCTAAGCCCCAAGGGCCCTAAACCCTAAACCCTATAGAACCCCACACCCCCCCGCCCTCCAGCAGCCCCTTTGGTTTAGGGTTTAGGCTTCAGGGGTTAGGGATTAGGGTTTTGGGTTCAGGGTTTAGGGTTACAAACCCCTAAACCCCTTGAATCCTAAACCGCAACCAACCACCGGCCACTCCCTGTGCAGGAAACAGGGGGACAGGGCCGGCAAAGCCCGCTTGCTTGAGGCCGATGCGCGTTCCTTCCGTTCACTGCCTGGGGGCCTCTCTGGCCCTAAACCCTAAACCCTAAACCCTCAACCCTCAACCCTCAACCCTCAACCCTCAACCCTCAACCCTCAACCCTCAACCCTCAACCCTAAACCCTAAACCCTAAACCCTACACCCTAAACCCTCCCTTTTTGTAGGGTTTAGGTTCCCTTTGTTGTTCCCGGTTCCTCTTGTGCCTGGTATAAGTGCTTTTTGGCACTCCTTGGGTCTTGACGCGCTGTTGTAGGATGTTTAGGGTTTAGGGTTTAGGGCTTAGGGCTTAGGGCTTAGGGCTTAGGGCTTAGGGCTTAGGGCTTAGGGCTTAGGGCTTAGGGATTAGTTTACAGGGTCATTACTTTGAGGTTCGGTACTTGCTGAGCTTATAACTTTGCTTACAGCCCACGACAAGTGGGTCATTTGGTTTTAAGCACCATGAGTCTACCCTAAACCCTAAACCCTAAACCCTAAACCCTAAACCCTAAGCCCTAAACCCGAAACCCCAGACCACAGAAGGCTTGCAGGGTTTGTGTGGTTGCAAGTCGTGTTTGAAGGTTTGGGGGACCTGGTGTTGTAAACATTTCTGGCTGGCATGCTCAGCTAGATGGGGTTTAGGGTTTACCCAAAACCCAAAACCCAAAACCCTAAACCCTAAACCCTAAACCCTAAACCCTAAACCCTAAAGCCCCTAAGGAATTCCACAGCTCTGGCACCGTGCCCGGAGGTCACCCAGCAGCTCCAGCGGTGCAAGCTGGACTCCTCAGATGTGAGGGTTCGCGGCATTCTGGGGTTTAGGGTTTAGGGTTTAGGGTTTTGGGCAGGGTCCAGGGCGGTGGTGGTATGTGAGGTCGCAATACGACCACCGCACGAACGAAGGGCTAGGCTGCGAACCCCCGAAACCTAAACCTAATTGACCTCCCTGTCATGTCAAACAGGCGCAAGTTCCCTATCGCAAGTCCTCGGCTTCCCACTTGAAACGTA